GTCCAACTAAAAATAAGGATCAAGTGCTGATAAATTTAAAGATTTTATAGTTTTTTGCTTTATTATAAAACTTTCAAAGAAGTGGGAGGAAAATTTTGTTTTTATTGATTCTACATTGAAAAATGTTCTTTTAAATTAATTTTTCAACTTTCCAAATATTTTTGGCTTAACTATAACAGCAAAATAGTAAAACCATGTCATATCTTAACAATAAATAATTAATTAACCGTTATTAGGGTCTAATTCCACACCCTCGGAGCAAAACTGTGTAAGACAAAGTTCGGCTAAATGAGCTAAGTGCATACTCCAGTAAGTCTTTAGGCCTGGCAGACTGTGTCTAATTGGCAAGTCGAAACTACTTCCTTTTAATTCAATGTGCCCTTTTAAATACATCGAAACATTTTGATAACTCTACTTGTAGTGAGATTTTCTCTGTGGTCTGAGGTGTGATAAACTTATTGTATGCTAGTTTACCTATCACCCTGTTCTGCATGCTGATTTTTATTCAATCAGTCGCTTTTCTCCATTTATAGGTTTTTCCAGAAATATTTTCCAAGGAATGGAAAGGTGTTTGACGGACGTGATTCTTGCCAGAGTTGGACATACTCGTTATTAAAGGGACAATTTTTTTTTACATTTTTTTATTATTATTGATTGACTGATTTTTTCTCAATATTTTTTTTTGGTTAGAAGGTGTGTGTGTGTGTGTGTGTGTGTGTGTGTGTGTGTGTGTGTGTGTGTGTGTGTGTGTGTGTGTGTGTGTGTGTGTGTGTAGTTTTTAGGCTAGTTTCAAATTTTTAATTTTTTTGTAGAAAAATTATACAGGGTACCTCAGACCCAGTTCAACTTCAGAATTGTTGAATACGACCCAACCCATCCCGATAAATCATTTTAAAGGATTTTTACGCTGAAAACAATGGTGCAATCGGATTTTAAGTTGATCAAAATATGTCAAAGTTTGAACCAAAACAATAGACATTTGGTTTGCTATTTATTAATCACATTTCAAGTTCAAACTGCCTGCCTTCCGCAAAGATGCAAAGAGTGGTTCTTTTTAACCACTCTTCACCGGTGCTCAGAACGATGCAGTCAGGGGAGATGGATTGACAAGCATTTTCCATCCTTTGCCGCAGTTCTTCAACTGAGGTTGCTGGGTTAACATTGTTTATTAAATGGACCCACAGAAAATACTCAAGTGGAATAAAATCGGGTAACCGAGGAGGCCCTAACCCTGTGATGAGGTCCTATCCACCTATCCGGGAGGTGAAGATTCACATAACGTCTCACGTACAAAAAACTGGGTGCGGGGCATCCATCAATCTGGAGAATCATTCTTTGTCGTTGTTGCAGAGGAACATCATCTAACAGTATTTGTAAAACATCCTCAAAAAATTGAACTGATCATTATTTAAATAATTTTCGTAGAAATATGGCCCAATTCATTTATTTTCGACAAGTCTACACCAAGCATTGATATTGCGAACACCAGTGATGACAAGAGTACGAAATTCTCGGATTTTTCTCTGCCCACGTTTGAAAATTCCAACGGTGCCAGTAGATGTGAACTTGGATTCATCAGCACATTGGATGCATGGAAGAACGTTTTCTTCAGCCTCCCAAATCACCGTTTGTGCAAAGAACGTTAAAAGCCTGTCATAATCAGAGTCCCGAAGTCCCTGGACAAGATGAGAACGATACGACTTGTAAGTCCGGATTACATCTCTAATTTTAATTTTTGAAATATCTAAAACCATTCCAACAATTCAGAGAGTGGAATTCGCATTTTCGCGAACATACAGTAAAATATTCAGTTCCACGTCGAAATTAAGCTGCCGGTTTCTTGGTGATGGAACAGCAATTGATCCATATCTCCTCATATTCCGAGCACACACGAATCAACAGTGGTGGTTTACTCTGAGCCAATCAGGAAATGTCTGGAAGTACAACTCGTCTGCACTTATCAACTAGCTATTGATCGGAAAAATGTGCTCTTCGATTCATTTTGAATATCGTAAAATTGATTTATTTCCAGGAATTAAGATTTGCTCCCATTATGCGAGTTTGACAAACTATGACACAATGTAAACAAAAAAGGCAGTTAATGTTTACTTTAGTGAAGAAGAGACCGGCTCCTATATAATCTAATCTAGTGAAGAAGCAAATTATTGGAATTAACAACGAAACAAACGAAATGCATTGTTTTCAAACTTTTTGCCAAAACTGTCATTTTGGACCAATTTAAAATCCGATTGCACCATTGTTTTTAGCGTAAAATCCTTTAAAATGATGCGACAGGATGTGTAGGTCGTATTTGAAATTTTGAAGTTGAACTGGGTCTGAGGTACCCTATTCAAAAAAGGTAAAAAATTTGAAACTAGTCTAAAAAATATTAAAGACGTATTTTTTTTTTTTTGATAGCATCATCAAAGGGGGCCTTCTAAAATGGACACCCTGTAGACTATTTCTTAAAACTGTAAAACGATTGATTAAAAAAAAAATCTAGTATTTTAAATATTTCATTGTCGTAATTAATCTTCTTTTAAGGCAGATTACAAGAAAATGATCCGATTTTCCTAGCGGTGAACGGAAACAACCCAAATCATGAATTATTCAAGATTGGTCAACTTTGTTGAGTGACCTTTAGGACTGTCGAAATGTGAACTCCGGCTCGACGGGGGAATCGAAGGTATTATGGAAATTGTACTCGTAGATCTGTGATTTCGGGAAAGGCTTTTTTGGTGGAGGATTTTGACCGAGGTTGATACAGAAATCCGAGAAAAAGTCGAACCGAGTCGAGGCGGGAGTAAAGGCAAAGATCAAACAGGGTTTATCCTGAGAAGAAAGCGGGCGGTGAGCTCGAGATCTCGTGTCAGCGGATCCAAGATGCCATCGTGACGTGGGGGACCAGAACCGTGGGAATCTCGGCGGAGTCGCCTTCCCAATCCGAAGCGAGGCCCGGGAGCCGATCTCGTGCCATCGTCGGTCCGGTCTCGTGCCCCCGCCTCACTCCGGGCATCTCCCTCTTTCTTTCTCCTCGGTCGACTTCCACGACGGAAGCGTGTTGACTTCGGGCACCGGTTTTTGACTTGGACAGACGTGAAAAAAAAGCAAAAATCCTCTTTTCACCCGATCAAAAATATCCTCTGATGAGATATACAAAGGGTGCCGAAGAAACGGGAAAGTGAGCACAAAAGAGAAATGGTATTTTAATCGGCAGGAAATAATAACTAAAAGCTATAAATATTTAGCGACGGAATTTACAAAACATATAAAGCAAATCCATCTAAACTACCCTAAAAGGAATAACGATATTTGTAATTTATTCTTATTCTATTAATTTTAATTAAATTAACCGATATATTCTTGTCAGTTGGATAAAACAAATTAGAAAGTACAAAAAAATTTTAATCCTCATTTTTAATAAAGTATTTACTTAAAAATAGTAAACATGAAAATTACTTTTGTAAACAAACACCATTTCTCGACTTTTCTCCATTTTAATCCAATTGTATTCTCTTTAACCATGGAAAGACATCATCTTGAACCAGAATTCCGCAATATTATTGTTGGCGTTTTTCAGAGAGTGGTCGCCCGGGCTTTATCCCGATTCCGAGAGACTGAAAGTGCCAATAGGAGGCTGGTAGTGGATCTCAGCGCTAAAGGAGGACAGAAATATTATCATAGCTGCAAGACTGAATCCTTTCTATAGTGCCCTACAGATCCTAAATGACTTCAAGATGTTTTGGCAAGGCCTTTATCAAGTGGGAAGTTGGCCTCACATCGTATGTCCATTTGAGACGATCTGCAACAACAGCCCGTCACAGCAACTCAGGACATGGTGCATCGAGCGCCTGACGCATCATTTTAAAGGATTTTACGCTAAAAAAATGGTGCAATCGGATTTTAAATTGGTCCAAAATGAAAAAGTTTTGGCAAAAAGTTTGAAAACAACGCATTTCGATTGTTTCGTTGTTAATTTGCTTCTTCACTAGATTAGATTATATAGGAGCCGGTCTCTTCTTCACTAAAGTAAACATTAACTGCCTTTTTTGTTTACATTGTGTCATAGTTTGTCAAACTCGCATAATGGGAGCAAATCTTAATTCCTGGAAATAAATCAATTTTACGATATTCAAAATGAATCGAAGAGCACATTTTTCCGATCAATAGCTAGTTGATAAGTGCAGACGAGTTGTACTTCCAGACATTTCCTGATTGGCTCAGAGTAAACCACCACTGTTGATTCGTGTGTGCTCGGAATATGAGGAGATATGGATCAATTGCTGTTCCGTCACCAAGAAACCGGCAGCTTAATTTCGACGTGGAACTGAATATTTTACTGTACGTAACGATGAACTAGATTATCGACCTGCTGGATACAAGAAGTCTTTTCAGAGGATCTTCGGAAGAGGTTAAAACATTGTAATTTTAGCTATAATTTTTAATTGTTAATGTATTCCATTTAAATCAATATTTAGATGCTGAGCCGGAAAAAAACATAATGTACTTCTGGCCCAAAACACCATGTTGTTTTAATTTCCTATTAAGGTTTTAAAGTAAGATATCCAATTATTGTTGTAATTATTGTTTTTTCATGTTTTAATTGTTTGTTTATATGATAATAAAACAGGCCCTGAAGATGACAGTATAAAACTGTCGAAAGCTCGGCGAAAACCGTAAGAAAGTTTTCTCTGTTTTGACCTCTTCCGAAGATCTTCTGAAAAGACTTCTTATTTTACTGTATGTTTTTATTATTCGAGGGAGCCCAAAGCCCCGGAATAAAATTTATTTTCTTTTTCTGTTACTAAGTTCATATGGAGATAGAAACAGATCTAATCTGGTCAGATAGGATTTTTTCGGGTTAATTAAATTTCATTTAACTTTAAATTTTTCATGTATTATATTAATACAATTTCTTGTAATAAGTATGTTAATCCAAGACTTCAAGCTTTAACATTTTGAGGTGGAGATTTTAACGCAGGTGTAAGTAAATGCTTTCATATAAATATACTATAAACATTTTATTTATAATAATTACAGAAACTGAATTTACATTAGAAATTTGTCAGTTAAGTTTAATACATAATAACAATTAATACGCAGGAGGCATAAATGAGATCAGGTACAATTTTAAGATCACAGGTATCAGGCTGGCCGTTATTTAAAAGTATTGTCTTGTATTGAAAAATTTAAAAAAATCAACAATTTTTTCGGATCTAGAATTTAGTGACTGTCCAAGTCTGAAAAGAAAGTTTTTAAACTTAATAAGGCTCTCGCGTTATTTACAAAGTATTTACACGTTTATTTATGGGGGGAAATCAATGTAAACAAGGACGGACGGGCTCTGAACGGTCGTCCCTTCAGAAGAGGATCTGCGGTCAACCTGTCGGCTTTTGACAAAGGTCAAAAGGGCTACCACGGCCTCCAGAGTGGCCCTTCGCCTTCGACGACGACCATCCTGGCACCACTTTGGTGACACACGACCGGGTTTAGGTGACGGACCAACCTGACCGCCTCCTCGGGGCCGACGCCGGCTTTTCCTTCCCGAAGAAACCTCGTCACTTGTTCCAGACATGCGCTCCATCCTTCTTCATATCTGAAAATTAAAAAAAAAAAAAAAATTAAAAAATACTTATACAAAATGTAGGGTTTAAATATTCAGTCGCATTCTTATAATCGGATTCTCGTTTGGAACGAGATGTCAAAAATTACACCCTTCGTGACGTTAATTCGTCATTACTGACAAAACTATTACCGTCTGGCTAGGGTGATTTCTTATTCCAAGACAATTTTGTAAATGCGTTCTACAAACAAGTCAGAAATATAAGTAGAGAAAACCAAATTTCAGAAAAGCGGTTCTAGTAATGTAGTGGCCAAATAATTACTGAAAATATATCGAAACGTAATAAAACTTTTACACTTTAAATATTACGAAATATATTTTAAAATTCTGTCGCTATAAAATTTTGAAAAAGTCATATAAAAATGGAGAATTTTGATAATTTGTGGGTTGAATATAAATTGTTATCCCCATATCAGAACATAAAAATTTAATCAGTCCATACAAATATCGTTAAAATATATTTTGATTTATCTTTGATACAAATTCTAACAACCAAATAATAAAAAAAATCTACTTTTCAAGAAAAAGTAGTTAAAATGTCATGAATTAATTGGTTGCAACTTCTGTGCTGGTGGTCTATGTTGCAACTTTTTCGTTTTTTAAATTATAATAAAAGACTTGTGAAAAATTGTATTTGACACTTTTTGATAGAACATGGTAAAAATAAATGTGAAGCTTAGCAACTTCTGTCGTACAAGGACTTAAATTAATTAAGACTTAATTTTGACCTCTCACAGAAGTTTCCAGTGATTGAAAATTAAAAAACAAAATATGTTTTCTTCACGTTCAATAATTTGTTTTGCATCGACAATAATTTTTATTATTAGTAGGTAGTACAATAAAAAAATAAATGAAATAGATCATCTAGTGTCAGATACATTAATTTCGCCCATTACCATTTCTTTCGGAATGGTCTTTTTTGTTTTTCCAGTATATTTTCCGAGAGATGTGTCAATTCCAGAATAAAACATGGGCCTAAATTTAACTTTTTGTTTAAATTGGTTTCTTTTAAAAATAGGTATCGTTTTGTATTAGTAGCTTTATAGTGAGAATATACTAATTAGAGATAATACATTTTTATTCTTGTATTGATTATAATTTAATTTTTTTAATAACTTTTATGATAATGGCAATGATTCCTGGAAAATGGTTAAAAATAAAGGATAATCAGAAAAGTATACCATGATCAAAATCCACGGGTGTTATATTTTATGCTGCGCTTTTATCATTAACGCTAAGAAATAGATGAAAGTGAAGAAATCAGATTGTGAAAAAAAATCTTCCACACCTTAAGAACCCCATGATATGATGTCAAACCAATACACACCGGTTAACAATCTCTATAATTAAATATCTCAATCCCCCATCGCCTTCCTGCAATCATATCCACATCTGGGATCAAAAAAAGCATGAGACACTCACACACACAGACCCAGAGGCGATGGTGTAAAACCGAAACGCGTCCGACCGCAAATCAGCTATTATTACACGCCTGAGAAAATTGACAGTCTAGAGGTGTGACTCCTGGCCACCTATACTTTATTCAGGACTTTTCCAATTGTATTGAATACTCTAGTTAGCAGTGGTTTCGCTACTAACAATAATAATTATAAAATACTGAATATTACCTATTGCCGCCTTGTTCGACTCTCCTGAGGCTCTGCAAGTGCCTGACTGTAAGTTCGAGTATGTCGGCTTTTTCCAGCTTGGAGACGTTCTCTCCTTCGCTCTGAAGAGCTGTGACCATGAGTTCTTTGAGTTCGTCGAGGCATCTGTTGATTCTGGCGCGCCTTTTCCTCTCCAGCATCGGCTTCATTACCTGCAGACAAGGTACCATTTTTCAAAATTTGCCCGATTAGTATATAAAACGTAAGGCTACGCCTTTTTAAACGATCTAACTTTAAAATGATTCAAATACAGTGGATCCAGTACAGCAATGTCTTGGTCCATTGAAGTTTGTTGATATTTAGCTCTAATTTAATAACAATTTTAGTTTAAGAATATAGTCCTGATGTTTTTCATCTTTAAAACAAACAGACCCAAGAATTGCTGTCAGCTCGGACCCGTCACGCTTCTTTACTAAATACATTGGCCGGCACAAATTGATTTTCTTTTCATGTAAAACTTATTTATTATTATCATTAATATTATTTTATTTAGTTTATGATTTATTAATTATGAAAAAAATTAATGTATTGTCTAAGAAATATACATCTTAATGTAACTTTAATCCAACAGTTGATAATTTCCATGTTCTTCTGGACATTTTTCGACATCCAATTGGAAAATGATCAATGGCGATTGTAAGTTATTTCATGTCATTTACTTGATAATTTTAATTTAAAAAAGAGGGTGGAAATAAATAATCGAAAAGGTTAGTAAGATATGAGTAGGGGCTGGAAGAAATCAAATATTGTCTCTGAAAAGTCAATTATTTAAAAAATAAGCTGTTTTGGGGGTTGAAGTTGTTATTTGACAAATCCATTGTATTTTAGTTTTAGAACGATCAATCCTCAAAGCAGATAATTAAAGTTTAACAATATTAATTTTAATTAATTATAGTTTGTTGATAATGTCTAAGACGTGCAGAATCTTTAAGTGGTCGGTGATGAAAGAGGATAAGAAGACTGAAATACCTTTCTGTATTGGTAAGTCCTACTGACGGGCTGCTGCTGAGTCTCTGCCATTGCTTTTCTTATCCGTTCGCCAATGATTTTGAAAATGTGTCGACCGTGGGTTACTTCTCTATTGGAAGACGTTGCCCGGACTGAGCTCCCTGACGAACCGGCTCTGGGGCCAGGAACGAAGGGGGGCCGGGGGTCCGCCTCCTCCTTGAAAGACCGTGGGAAACGCAGAACGGGAGTTCTCACACGTGCCTCAGGTGGGTCTCCTCGAGCTGGAGGGGGCACACGAAGGGCACACGTCTTCAGCAGCACGCTTTATGCTGTACGCGCCGATTCCTGCCTTTCTTATTTGCTTAGCCGGCTTCTCACCTGTATGGATTATACCAGACACTTTCATCCCCAAGACAATGAGCGCGCCGCGTCGAGAACCTCATTGGATCATTTCCATCGAGGAGCTAATTGCGTCAGTGACTTTCTCTCAGACACTATTTCCTGTACACAAGGAACGTTAAGTAAACAAAAGCTCTTGCCCTTACTCAAGCTGATCATCTTTCCATTTCAAAGTTCACTCTGATCATTTAACAACTTTCAAGTTTATCTGGAAGTCTGATTAATATGGTACTGTCTATGTAAGAAGCAGTGAAATAATAAAATAATATATGGGGGGGGTTATATATTGAAGTCCACAACCCCTTTGTTTTATTTTTTATTGGCAATATATATTACGGGACCACTTTTCACCGTTTTTCAAACAAAAAACGTACTAATTATTATTAATCCATTTATGTTTAGTGGGCTAATAGACTTAATTACTTCTTTCAATTAACTATTCTTTTCTATGTAAGGCTTTGGTAAGATAAAAAAGTTAGTGTCCCGAGCGGGATACAAATTAATCTCAATAAACTCGAATATACAGGGTGTTCGTCTAATCGTATTACCAACTTTGCCAGTTGATTCCACATTCAAAATGGAACGAAAAAGTCCTAATTAACTATGGTCCGAATCTCAAGAGTTTCGGAGTTATTTCACTTTTTCTGATTTTTTAAGATTTCTCGACCTTGCTTCAAATAAACGATAATAACTAAAAAACTAAAAAGTTTTGGAAAATCCATTGAGACCATTAGGTTAAATAGGTCCTAGGTTAAATTTCCCATAAGATGTGGTCAATATTAAACGGGTAAACGTAAGTTGAAAAATTTACTATTGTGATTCTAAACTAGTATTTCCAAACCTAGAGACCAGCAGATTTCAGAAAACGTACTCCATTTAATATTCTTTTTAGTGGTGCAATTGCTTTTTTAATTACTTTTTTCAAAGGTGAAGAAATTGATCTAGGAAAAGAAAAAACCGTGGTTAAAGGATTGGTATGGTGGAAAATTAAAAAAAATACTTAAAGAAATTTTGATTGAAATCATTAAACATTTTTTAATTTGGGTTCGAAACCGAAATAGTGCAAGTGTTTACTGATTTACCAACACGACTGCAACTTTGATTAAAGAATTATTGTATTATTCTTCGGAATAAAAGAGTTTAAGATTCAAAATATTTTTAGTTATGTATGTGATATCTTGTTAACACTATGGCTACTTTTTCTAATGAATACGGTGATATACATCTTATGTACAGGTTTTGCGGGTTTAATGCAATGGCAGCGCGTCGAAAATACATTGCGGAGGGTGGAGAGCATTTAGAATCAAAATTTTAAATCGTTTAATAAATTCATTCAAAATTTCCTTAAGTATTTTTTTAATACCATACCTATCCTTCAACCACGGTTTTTTCTATTCCATGTTCAATTTCTTCACCTTTGAAAAAAGTAATTAAAAAAGCAATTGCACCACTAAAAAGGATATTGAATGGAGTATGTTTTCTGAAATTTGCTGGTCTATAGGTTCGGAAATTCTAGTTTAGAATCACCATAGTACGTTTTTCAAGTTTTAATTTTTTTTCAAAGTTCTTGCCAATAAAACGTTTATTTCACTAACGTTTACAACTTTAGTATAGATCACATCCTATTGGAAATTTAACGCAGTTTTCAATGGTGTCAACGGATTTGACCAAAACCTTTTAGTTTTTTAGTTATCATTGTTTATTTGAAGCAAAGTCGTGAAATCTTATAACATCAGAAAAAGTGAAATAACTCTGAAACTGTTGAGATTTGGAATGTAGAAACTTCTGGCAAAGTTTGTAATACGAGTAGACGAACACCTTGTATAAAAACATATCTGCAATTTACACATGTAAGATTATTTATATTGAACTCATTTTTCACTCAGGTTTTCATCTCAACTAAAAACCTTAATTATTTATATTGAACGTTGAACCGTACCTCGTTTGAGCTCAGAATATACTGATCTGCTATTTATCGTTTCTGTAGGATCAAATTGATCCTTAACACATGGGCTCTTCTTTCCGAAAATAAAAACATCAATTTTGAAGCGAAAAGAAACGTTTTTAAATCCACGTTCTACACAAATTTGTGTCCCACAAACAAAACCTTTTATTTTGTTATTTTCCAAAATCCCTTAATTAAACGTTCCTTCAGTAAAAACATAATAATGTCTCTCTGAGGTTGAGATGGGAAGTTTGTATCCGAGCGGGTCGAAATCACTACAGCTCAAGTGGTGGAGCAGCGCCGTATTTCGCCGTAGATCGTGGGTTCGAATCCCGCTCGTGACACTGACTTGTTTTACGTTCTTTCATAAAGATTAATTAATTGAAAAAAGTTAATTGGTCAATCGGACCATGAACTGTAATGGATTTAATAATAATTTCTAATAAATTTTAATGCAGTTTATAATAAAAATAAAATAAAAATGCTAGAGAAAAGAACTATTATAAAATTGGCAATATCCCTACTCCCATAGTTTATTGTTTAAACAATTCCCAGCTGAGAAATCGTTAACTGTCAAGAACTTTGAAGTGAATTGAATAAGTGAAATACTGATAAAACGACTGGTAATTAATCATCCTTAGACGTTTAACTTTCTTCCCGATTTCGTGACGGCGAGTGAAGTTTCCTTTGTCAGGACTTCTAGAAGTCCGGCCCGTCGAACTTTGCAAAGACCCCGGTAAATCGCCAGGTCTCTTTTTCTATTATTTAATTTTAAAGAACCTGGCTATCGGCCCTTGGTAAACGTAAGAGCGGGTGCCAGCTCCGAGAAAGAGAAAGTTCCAAAGCACAGGGCGCTACCACGTCAAACGGTGGCCTTTAACTATAATAATAGTTAAGACTAATTTAATAGTAGTATTTACATTTTTAATTAAGGTATCAATTTCTTTACTTTTACTCTAATTTAATTATCTCGGGACAGGAAATTTACAGATATGACTAAGCGGATAGATTTTATTTATTATCTGTATAATTAATATAGGATTTATAGAACGGATTAGCGAAAAGAAAAGCTATTAATCTTATAAAAATGACGTAGATAAAAAAAGAATACCCATTTTCATAATTTAGCTTGCTTGCTTTCTACAACTCTTCCCAACAGCGTATTATGTAATGTAATCTTTTTTTTTACAATCAACGAACTATGAAATGTCTTCAATATATAAAAAATTATATTTATTTGCAATAACGTAAAAATGAAACATGACAAAAATTGATATTTTCACAACCGATTTAGCAATTTCACGACATCACTTTGATTAAAATTTATTAACATTTTGTTATACTTATTCAGAAATCGTGAGATGCGGTCTGGTGTGATGTAGGTTTCAGAAAAACATTTTCTTTAACGTGCCAACGTTTCGATCTTTATTGAGATCATCTTCAGGGCCTGGGATTTACAAACATTGTTTACATATAACAATTACATTTTGGATGTGGAAAAGTGAATTTATACAATGCAAAATATATTTTTTTGTATTCAATCAAAGTATTTCTAGTCACTCAAAGTGTTTGTATTCTGTGTAATTGTGCCATTCATACTAGTAGAATACGGAGTAAAAATACTTTGATATATTTTTAAAAAATAATATTTTTTTTTATTCAATCAAAGTATTTTTACTCCGTATTCAACTAGTATGAATGGCACAATTACACAGAAGACAAACTCTTTGAGTGAGTAGAAATACTTTGATTGAATAAAAAAAAATAATTTTGCATTGTATAAATTCACTTTTCCCCATCCTAAATGTATTTGTTAAATGTAAACAATAGTTATTCAGATATCGTGAGATGCGGTCGGGTCTCACAATATCTGAATAACTATCGATTAACGGTCACTAATCTCTACACAAATGTAAACAATGTTTGTAAATCCCAGGCCCTGAAGATGATCTCAATAAAGATCGAAACGTTGGCACGATAAAGAAAATGTTTTTCTGAAACCTACATCAAACCAGACCGCATCTCACGATTTCTGAATAATTATCGATTAACGGTCACTAATCACTACACATTTCGTTATACATTGAATATAGTAGGTATATCAACTAAAACAATCGAAATGATTAAAAAACACTACGAACACTCTGAATTGGGTACATGGACTAAAATTGGAATTACTAATTATTTAAAAAAAAAAGGTGTAAATCACTGCGTTTTGTTCCCACTTTTTCCCCGTTATTCCTCGTTAATTTTCATGCTTTTATAGAGAGTGGTATATGCATTGGATAGGGATGGGGATAAAGGGGTTGTCACAAAGCACAACAGAAAACAACACCTATCCTGAAAAATAAATTCAAATCAAGAATCTAGACAAAATTAGCTCCAAATATCCAATTTCACAAAACTAAAAAACTCCTAGTGTTTATCCAAAAGCCAGAGTGAAAACACCCAAACCTGATACAAACATTTTTCTTAAAAAATAAATTTTCACAAAAACAAACTAAAAAATAGGACCCTACATGTTCAAAATTTCCCTCCTTTATTATATTTAATAAGTACGAACTTTATTTAATGGATAGGAATAAAAGAGGCTGTCACAAGGCCTACTGCATCTCGAACTGAAAGGATCTATATGCTCCTGTATTTTTATAACTCACTTCAGGTCGTTAATCAAGCTCTATAGTCTTGCCACCGACTTAGTGTATGATCTAGCGGCTCTTCTTGTCCCAGTTGCAAGACCTACATAGGCATATGCCTCCTTTGTCGGCAGTACCGTGTGAGGAGTCAGGATTTCATCCTGAATACCAGTTACCTTCCAATAATTCTTTTATAATTCTTTCAGATGGCACTTTTATGAAGCCTTTCGCGTGC